AAACACAGAGATTACTGTTGTCATTAATGAAGTTAAATTATATTTGGTACTCTGTGTTCAGAAGCAAGGTAGCATATTCCTTCATTTTGTGACCGCCAAAAATGGCTGAAGAAAAAGTAACTCTTGTGTATAAAAGGGCTTAAGCCTCAATTATTTTGCAGAATTCCCCTTCTCTTACCATGCAACCTTCCTAGTAATCAAATAAATGCAAACTAAAGCAAGAATAAAATACCAGTATTTCCCACAGCAGCCGTATTTGAGGCAGTGGAAGAAATGCAGAACACGTCCTTCCCCCAAAGGAATAATTATGAACAGCTTGCTTGTTATACTCCAAGAATCTAGCTACACTCAACATAGGAATCTTATTTACCATGGCTCAGGAAGAATCTCAGAGATGGTCTAAGGAAACACATAGTGAAAAATCTGCTTTCCATTCCTGCTCCGTTGCCCTCCTGGGAGGAGGCCATTGTTAACCAGTTTCTTACGTACCCTTCCAGGTATTCTGAGTATAACCTTGGGGGTGGCGGGGTGTGTAACAGGAAGGAAGAAGGACCATCAAAGCCATAGGGGGCTTTACTGAACCACCACTGGCCCCATTGAGCTGGATTTCCATGGTACAGAAAATTGCATCCACCTAACCTCTACTTGAGATCACTCTGGTTTCCCATGGGAGTGTTGTAGTCCTCCAAAATGCTGCAGAGGGAGGCCTGCAAACGAGTGCTCCAGTGCTAGTCTCCGTGCTGGGCCCTGTCATCCTGGCACCCACACCCAACAGACAGTTACCTACCAGTGCCTACACCAAGCAACCTCAGCAGCGAGAAATTCCTCTCACGGAGGCAGTTAGGCACCTTGGAAGCTTGTGAAATCCAAACGTTTCCCACTGAAACATACCACCTCTGGGCCAAAGGACAAATGCTTTGCCAAAATTCTCTTAGAAAATAAAAAATTTGGAAGCATTTGAAATCTTGCTTCCCTAGCAGTGTTGTCAGTTTGGGCTCAAATAAAACTCTTACTTAAACAAAGATTTTTAATTAAAAATTTAAAAATAAACAACTGTTAGCAATCTAATCAATGCAAATTCAAGCAAGAGTTAAATGCCATTTTTTATCTATCAAATATTTAAATAATATGTGATACTGGTGAGGTATACCAAGATATAGTGCTGAGAACAGCATAAACTGACTCAACTTTAAAAAATGGCAACTGTAGTTGAAGAGCCACAAAAAATGTTGAAAGCCTCTTATAAAACAACCTCACTGCTGGGAAATGTATGCCAAGAAATTGATGAAAAAATGAAAAAGACCTACACACAAAGATAATCACTGCAGATTTATGCCAAACAATCAAAGCTGGAATTAACAGTGATGTTTAATATCGGGAATTAGTCAGGTACATTATGGCTGGTTTGCCTACTGATGGAATATTATATAGCCAGTAAAAATGATGATCATGAAGACAGCATAGCAATTTGAAAGAATGTTCCCAATAGTTTCAACTGAAAAATGAATTTTAAAAGACATACTATGACTTTAACCACAAAAATATCCCTACATGTGGACACGGACAGCAGAAGCAAGAAAGGAAGAGAGCAGCTATTATGTGAAGAAATTTGATTTTTTCCTCTAACGTCATTATAGTAGACATCTGTGGGTTTTGCCTAGCCAGCAGTCACTCCCTATTCTTCTGCAACATCCCTCTAATTTTCCTTTGGAAACAGCCCCTCCCGATCTCTCAGCAATGTGGTTTAGATGAATGTAAGTCTAAGTCCCACTTCAGGCCTGACCAATCACAGCATTTTTAGCTCCTAAAACACAACTGATTCAAAGACGTGCATATGAACTCAACCCGCCAGGCCAATCGGACTCAGTCCAGGGACCTCTGCTCATATTACTGGAGAACTGGCACTCTGTCTACAGCTGCTAAGCAAGTAGCATAGCAGCTTGGAGTGGCTGGTGACCATTTTTGCGATAGCAAGGAAAAGAGTCTCTCTGAAAATGACTTTGACAGAGAAAAGCAGAGGAGGGAGGAGAGGAGAGGCAAAGGCACCTCATTGTGAAATTATTTAAGCCCCTGAATCCAGCCCTGCCTGATGCCAGTTCTATTTCTGGACTTAAGAGTTACACGAGCCAATTCCCTTTGAGTTGAGTTTCCGTCCTTCTAACAGAGACCTGACTAATTGGCCGTTAAAACATTTTCCACAATTACGATTTGATATTTTAAATTACAGTATCAAGCACAGTGGCCTACCCAAAAACTTTTCTTTCCATCATAATTGTGTGCTCGGTAGTGATGATAAAGATAACAATCTAGTGATACCCGCTAGCGAGCGCTGAGCTGAGTTGTGTTGAGGTGCCTTTTCAAGTTTGTCCTAACCACCCTGTATAATACAGGTATTATTCTAACAATTTGGAAACTGAGATTCAGGGAGATGAAAGCCCTTGCCAAATAATAAAGACAAATACCACAACTGTATCACTTATTATGTGCTTCCTTTGGTCTACCCACTATCCAAGCCTTGCATTTCCTACTACAATAAAATGACCCTTCCCTTTACCTAGCTGGATGTTCACCGAGACACGTACACCTTGGCATTTCACCCAAACAGGCATGATGTGAAGCCTCTTACCTGAAGAACTCCAGAGCACACTTGTTGACAAGCTTCCCTTCCTCCAAACACCGCCGCGGGTCCTTCTCTTCCCAGCGGCACAGCATGAACTCCTTGTTGGGTTTGTCGCACTGGGCTCCATAGTGATGGGCCGCAGCTTTAAGCACAGCAGAACTGACCTTGACCTGGGGAAAGGCACAGAGGGGGAAAGAACGCAGATGTGTGACCGGGCCATCGCTCCCTCAACTTCACCTCTTGTTGGTCCAGAGGGAACACAAAGGTAGCTGTTCTGACTCTGTGGTGGAAAGATGGCAGAGGGGGTTCCCATAATAACCTTTTCTGAGCTACAGCGCTTTAGAGAGCACAGAGCTCTTTCCAACGGCAGTCCTAACAGAATCCTTAGGTCTTTATGACAGAGAAGGTGGTCTCCAAGGAAAATGGAAGCTTCTGGGATGTAATGGGAGGAGCCAACTTGGGGGTGGGGTGGGGCATTCATGGGTCTCCTCTCCAGGAACAAAAGTAACAGAATATTGGAACACGTGAGAATATTAGTAATAGAGGGTGCCAAAAAATATATACACATTTTAGGAAAGGAAAAACTATATTAAAATTGTAATACAATGAATGACGCTAGCAGTCATTTTATTAATGCCACCTTGTGAGCGAATGTCATAGTACACATTGCTACTGTAGTTCAGTTAAAAAAAGTAATACATAGATAACATCTCTTAAAACGTATATATATTTTTGGCACCCCCAGTATATATCTAGTATTAGAATAGTAAGACATAAACACATCTAATAGTAGAAAGATACATTACTAATAATGAAGTATTAAAATTTGTGAATTTTAAAAAATGATAGCATACATCCATGGTGGCCATCCCTACAGCTATGTGGGTCTCACCCACTCACATTCCAGTGCATTTCCTGGAGAAACAGGGTGGTTACAGCCAGCTCACAGGGAAATGCACACAGTCCCAGCCTAGTGCTAGCTGCTGCAGGACAATCCTGTGGCCTTTTCTGTACTACCTTTCCCGGCCTCAGTAGCACAGTGCTTCAATTACTGCAACTTAGTAGAAAACTTTGCTGTCTGGGTCTGGGAGGGCCATCCTCATTAATTCTTCCTTTTCAAAATTGTCTTGGCCATTCTTCCAGATGAACACCATCCCACCTATGACCCCTCACACCCCACCCCCCAAAAAAAAAATCTGCACTGGAATTGTACTAAGTTTAGTTATATATTAAATTAGAAGGGAACAGGCACTTTTACATTATTAGGTCACTGGCTCAAGTTTTACCTCCTCAGAGAGTCTCCCCCTAATCATCTTATATAAGCCAGCATCAGTGGTCACTCCGGGTGTGACCACTAGAAACGTAAGCTCCCAGAGGGCAGGGATTTTGTTGTCAAAAGAAATCCAATACGGTAAACATGTCAGCTCTCCCTAAACCAAACTATAGTTGAATGTAACGTTTACTGTGGTTCACCAGGCAGTCAGATAGTGCCCATCTCGAGCAGCTGCTGAGCACTGAGTCTGTCCAGGCACTGCGGATATACAACAGTTACACAAGAGATGAGAATACATGAATTATGCCCTTTCTCCCAGAACACAGTATGCCTCTCCATTTGTTCAGGTCATTTTGATGTTCTTCAGTTAAAGTTGGTTTCCTTCAAATCAGAATGATGCACATTTCTTTTTTATTCCTCAGTATTTTAACATTTTTGATACTATCTAAGTAGGATTTTTTTCTCTATTAGATTTTCAAATTGGTAATTTTTTGTTTGTACATTGTTATCTTCTCTCCAGCCATATCTTACTTATCTTGTTAGCTCTGATACAAAACTCAAGAGAATTAAACGAAAACTTCCATTTACAAATAAAAACCTCCCTTCCTTTTTGATATTTCTACCTTTTTCTTCTCTTTCCTATCTTATTGCTCTGACAAAAACCTCCAGGATAATACAGATGAACAATGGCAGCAGGTGCATCTTTGCCTTTTCCTAAACTTTAAAACACAGTTTGGAATGATATTTGCTGGTGGTGCCTGGGATATAGTTGTTTGGCTATTCCTCATCAAGGAAGTTGCTTTCTAATCCTAATTGCTTTTGTTTTACTATTGCTCTTTTCTTCATGAGGAAAGTCTGAAATGTTCAGGTGTCTTTTTCCTTAATCTATAAATGTTAATATAGAGCATTTACACATTTTCTAAAACTGACCAATTGTATCTAGAATAAAATTTAGCCTGTCATAGTGTATTATGTTTTAAGATACCGCTGGATTTGATTTGCAAATATTTTATTATGGGTTTCTATGTGAGAATAATTTTATAATTATTATTTGTATTATAATAAAAATTTTATAATTTTATTTTTTATGAATTTCACACAGCTTAGGTTAAATTATTAGTAAGATAAAAGGCAAGGAAAGATGAAGAAAGTAATTCATCTACACACTATAGGAAGAGGAGAATAAAGTTATGACTATGTCTACTAATATCACAACTGTTATCAAAGCAAAGGTAAACTTATGATGTAAGTGACATCTGCCATGTCAACTGTAATAAATCTGTTTAAAAATCTATAACATTTTGTTTTACAGTTTTTAGTAAGAGTTTATTTAGGTTCATTGAGTGGTAAACACTTGTTTGCTATATTATCCATAAAGAGCTGCAAGAATAAAAATCAAGATTGGAACTGATTTAATAACTCAAATGCTTTCATAGCTTTCATGGCCAAAAAGCCAATGACATGTTTTGCTTTACTTTCCTGCAATTGAGGAGGTCTTATCAAAATCTAGGTATACCCATGTTGCTGAGCATGTAAAATACACTGTCACCGGGAAATAAAGGATGAGAACCCCACACTGAATCTATCCTGAGGAAAAAGAGAGCCGTGCTCAAGACAACACAGGTCAGCGGCCACCAAGAACTGGAATCCAGAGACTGTGACCTCCAATCAGGCCTCTTCCCATGACACCACCATCACTGAGATGGCAAAGAACTTCAGTTGTCACCATCTCCCGTCACCTGCTTTTTCACTAAGAAAGATGAATTCCAACAGAAGCAACGTGCTTTCACAGCTGCTTACCGTGAATACCCTGTCAAATTCATTCAGCTCCCTTTGTCTCCAAGAATACAGAATTTCAATGTCCTTCCTCATTTATCCTCACAACAGCCTCACTGCACAGCAGGTTTCTATTAGTCTGCAGGTGTAGAAAGGGAGGCAGAAAAAGTCTCACAATCTACAATCTTCTAGTCCTCTCTTCCTTAAACCATGTCTGCACCTCTTTTTATAGTACTTCATTTATGCTATGCCTTATATTTTACTTAATTTATGTAAAAGAGAGAACAGTATTTGGTAGAACTGTTGTGATTAAATGAGTTAATACATACAAATATATTAAGAACAGTGCCTAGCACACAGAAAACGCATCATAAATATTAGTTATTATTTTTACTAAAAATTATCAATGTGTACAAGGAGTTTCCAGCCCAAAGCTCTGACTACTTTTTCCATCGGGATGTGTCACAACTCCAACGTCAATGTGGCCCAAAATGTGTTCAGCTTGCCCCTCAAACCTGCTCCTTCTGGCTTCACCAATCCTATCGTCAGGTTGCAAATCTGACATTGATTCCTCACCTTTCCTGCCTCTGATACCTAAGTCATTGCTAAATCTGATCAATTCTGAGCAAATTTGTTCTTTCCTCTCTAAGCACAATCACCAGTTATGTTGGGGTCATTAATATCTTCCTCAATTATTTCAACAGTCACCAAGACTAGTCTCCTGGCTTTTCTCATCCTCTCTTCAACCCATTCGTCACAGAGCTGCTGGGGATCACCTAAAAGACAACTCTTATTTTCCTCTGCTATTAAAAGAAATTAGCAACAAAACCCTGGAGAGATTCAGGCTTAACAGCAGCATAAAGCCCAAGTCCTGTGGGGTATTCAAAGCCTTCTGGATCCAGGCTTCTCACTTGCATGCGACACGTCAAAAAGGGTTCCCAGAACCCATTTGGGGTCCCCTGCATTTCCCCATCTCCTTACCTTTGATCAGATCCTACTTGCTTAGAAAGCTCCTCCCTCCATCTCTGCCTATAATTCTTACATTATGCCCAAGAAATGCTTTCTGGTCCTTTATAGCCCCAGAGAATTATATAGCTAGAATCACTTCATCTTGCAAATAAAATAACGGTGTCTACAAATGTTAAAAGAGACTAATCAAGGTAACCAAACAATTAGGCCTAGAATTTAGATACAACTTCAAATCCTACTCTTTTCTTAAACCATGTCTGCCCCCTTCCATAGCATTTAATCATACTTTGTCTTGTACTTTAGTTATTTATGTAATTATCTGTTTCTCCATTCAACTGTGTGAAGCCTAAAGGCAAATTTATCCCAGATATAGAATACTCGCAGGAAGGAAAACCTCAGATGTTTGTTGAACCAAATTCAAGTTCATGAAAAATAGAGCGACTTGAGACTAAGCCAGCTTCACAGGAGGGCAAGAAACAAAAGACTGACTGTTGGCAGCACCCCCCCCCTCCACCCCCCACCTTTTAGCAAATGTTGCTTTATTATAAAGTCCCTGAACACAACTAAAAATTTGTTCATCTGAGGGAACGTATAGTTGCCATTCTCACAGGTATATAAGATTAAGTGAAGCCATGCAGGTAAAACACTTACCATGGTGCCTGGGATATAATTTCTGGCACATGATTTTTTGGCCTGGCCCTCCCACTCCTCCAATGGCACCTGATCTTCCTATGATCCAGTCAGGCCATGACACTCCTCTGCCTTAAAACCTTCCACCTCTCCCCATCACCTCCCTTACAGGGATAAAGTCCAAACTGCTTAGTCTGGCCTTGTGGAAGTTGTGTCCCCGTCCTGCTTGAGCCCAAGGTACCTCTTCCGGCGCAGCAACTGCCGCTTCCCACCAACACTGAAGTCTCATCCAACAGCACTTGCCTCCCTAAGCACCAACGGTTCTGCTAAGCCTTCCCACTCTTGTGAGCTTTTGTCCATCATACCGTAGTTGAAAGCATGGGTTTTTACAAGCAGACCTGGGTGCACATTCCAGCTCTGCCACTTACTAGCTAGCTATGTGACCTTGGGCAAATCATGTCTTCTCTCAGGACCTGTTTCCTGAGGAGAGGCCAACTGTGTCCTTCTTTACAGTGTTGCTAGGAGGATTCCATGACTTGATGCATGTAACTCCTGCCTCACACCTAGAAAAGGCTTGTTCATGTTTGCTATAATTAGTATTACTGTCTTCATTTCCCACAGCACTAACTACACGGTAGTGTAATTGCCTCTTTATATGTCTGTCTCCCTATTAGGTTACAAGCTCTGGGAGGGCAGGGGCAGTATCTCTTACTTTCCAGTGTCTGTTCCTATGGTTCATTATTCAAATGATAACTCTTCAATAACTAACTGCTTCCGAAGTCCTATGACCAAACACCTTCCCAGGGCTGTTAGCAACTGCACTCTCCAAAACCGTCTCCTTGTTCTGGGCTTCCGAGCTCCACTCCAATGCACTCTGCACGGATGATGCTCCTTAAGGGAATTGTCTCTCTGTCTCTCGACTGTGAGCACCCCGGGTTGTATACTCACTTCGCAGGGAGGTTGGAGTATAAAATGACATAAAGTAAGTAAAGTGGCCCTGGTAGGTGCTTAATAAAAAGTACCACTATTATTCACGTAAAGAGGCAGGTCGCTGTGGGGGCGCGGGGGAGGGGGGGGGTGAGTTCTCGAGCCACTGCGGTTTGAGGTGGGGCGATTCCCGGAGCTGAGGAAGGGGCGTCCGGGGGTTGACCTATCCACGTGTTGGGTGGGAATGGGGTAGGGGGATCTGGGACCTGGGGTCCGCTGAGTTGAAGCAGGGCTGGGCCCAGGCCCGGGAAGCTGCAGCCCTATGCCCCGCTTGCCTGTCCTCCGGACGAGCCTCACCTCCTGCACTTTCAGTTCCTCCACAGTGGGCAGCTCCACTATCCCCGGCATGATGGCTGTTGCCCTGACCCGGACGACGCACCTGCAGCGGCGTCGCCCCCCGTCTCCTTGAACTCCCCTTTCGACCGCCAAGGGCCACCTAGTGCCTGCGCATGCGCAGCCGGCGGTACGCAGGCGCACTGCTCTGCCCAACTACGAGCCACAGAGCATGCGCATTGCTAGGAAATTCTGCGGACTCTGAGGGCGAGGCTTCGTTTCGGCTCCGCCCATCCCTCCTGGTTGTCATAGTGAGGCGGTATTTACTGAGACTGAAAGCCCAACTGCTGGAAGCTAGAGGCAGGCACCATGCAGTACACCGGGAGCCAATATATTGGGGAATATGTAGATGGCAGGTAAGGGCCTTATTTGATTCACTATGTCTTGAACATCTGACATCGATTTTTTTTGCCTTTGAAAAGGACTTGTACCAGACACTTTCACAAACTTTATCCCTTTTCACTTCCAGAACAACAATTTCAGGTAGGGATTGTCCATTCCCATTTTACAGTTCAGAAAAATGAGACCCAGAAAAGTGAAGTAACTGGCTCAAGCGGCAGAGCTGAGATCCATTCATTCCATATGTCTCGTGTGTATGCATGTTTGCTATCTGTCATTTTTAGATATGGGGATAAGAATATTAAACATGTCCAGATCCTTGCTCTCATGGAGCGTATAACCTAGTTGGCATATTGCCAACAAGTAATAAATGAGGAGATAATTTCACAGAGTGGCTTTACCTGGCTCTTTCCCTCCTCACAGCAAACCTATGAGATAGATATCATCATCTCCAGGTGGAAAAGTGAGGCTCAGAGTAATTACATAACTTGCGCAAAGTCACCAAGTTGGCATTTGGCAGAGCTCTCTCCTATAGAGCCCCGCTGCTGGGCCCCTACAGAGGACACACTGAGTTGGGGCAGTCCCTGAAGCCTTTGTGGAGGAGATCATATTTGAATTGGGCCCTAGAGGCTGGGGAGGACATGCAAGGTGAAGAATGTTTCCAGGCAGAGTGAACAGCAGGAGCAAAATCTCAAAGGGCTTATAAGAGCAGGCAGTTCAGTTTGGCTGGAATGTAGGATGTGCCTAGAGGAGGGTGGGAGCAGGAGCTGGAACGATGGGTCTGGGTTCTGGTGTACAGAGATTTCAATGCTGTGCACAATTCTATGGGTGGGCGGAGCCATTGATAGATCCTTGGCAGGGCTGGGCCTTAGGAATCTAATTTCTCTTATCTCTGCATCCCTCCTCATAGTGCATATACCTGCTAGGCACTCGGTAAATGTTGGCTGAATAAATTAATCAGAGAATGAATGAATGAGAGAATGAATGAATGGTAGTTGAGATATGGTCATTGTCTCCTCATGATGGAGTGAAGTCTTCATGATAAAGTAGCTCTGCCTTTATTCTTTTTAACTTACTTGAATTTCGATTGAAGGCTTTTCGCCTTGAATAAATAAAAGTGGAAGGGAGGGAGAAAGAGAAGAAGGGTAGAAAGGAGAGAGGGAAGGAGAGGGGGGAGAGGGAGGCAAAGTGGAGATGGGGAAATCAGGTCAGAGCCCATTGCAGAAGTCCCAGTACGAGACAGCAGGACCCTGGACCAAGGCAGAATCAGTGGGGCTTCAGAAAAGAGAAAAATTAAGAAGTTGGGATTTCATTGTCAGGACTTGGGAACTGATTGGCTCCCAGTCCCACTGAGAGACTGCTTCCAGGCCCAGCCCAATACCCAGCTCCAGGCTTTGAACTTGGAGGATTCTGATGCCATTCATGGAAATTGAAAACTCTGAGGAAGGACTGCTTTGGGGGAGGACAATGGAGTTCCATTTTGGGGGAGCTGGAGATGTCTGCAGAAGGTCTGTAGAAGGACGATGATGTCCAATTTGCAGTAAAAAAAAGAAAAGGGAGGGGGTGTCTAATTTCAAAGAAGGATTTATATGGAAACTATACCTAGAAATGATGTGATCTCAAGCAAAGAGGTAGAGGAAAGAAGGGCTTCTTCTTCCTCCAATGTCTTGCAGTAGAGTAAAAGCAAAATAGGTTTTGAGTTCAGCGTATGCCAGGCATTCTGCTATAGTTTCCCAGCCATTATCTCATTTAATTTTCTCAACAACTTTGGGGGATTCTTGTCATTATCCCCATTTTACACATGAGAAACTCAGACTCAGAGAGGTGAAGGAGCTTGTCCAAGGTCACAGACACAGAAAGGTGGAGCCAGGCCTGGACTCCAGGCCGGCATGGCTCAGAAGCTGCGTTTTAACCACATTGCTCCCATGCTTTGAACCTGTGCTATAGTGGCACCTGTCATCCATTCAGTCAGCTCACTGGCCTTTCTGTTTCCTTCATTTCTTACTCAGCAGATGTTTACAGAGCACCTGTTTAAGAAGAAACATGATTCTAAGAGCAGAGGACACCAAAGTAATCTTCTCAGGATGCTTTGATTAAATAGGGGAGATGAGGTATACAATTATGATGCAAGGCAGAAGGTGCTAAGCATCCAACAGAGGCACAAACAAAAGCCTAAAGAAGTTAGGAGCGGTGACTTCCAGCTAGTGGGGAAGAATGGAGCATGAATGAAGGAATGAATGAAAGCATATGTCTTACGCATTCACTATATGTCAGGCCCTTGACTAGGAAAACTGTTACACATTATCTGGGCTAATCTTGGGCATTAACTTCAGGCTTTCACACATGAAGAAACTGGTCAACTGGTCACCTGGTTGAAATGTCCCTGCCCAGTGCTCCTGTGGAGGCCTGTCTTCCCCCTGCATGGCACTTACCACACATTATGTAATTGCTTATTTGTGCCCCCAATAGACTGTGAGCCCCACCCTGAGGGCAAGGACAGAACCTGCTTTAAACATGGTTGTGTCCACGTTGTATCCAGCAGACCATATTCAACAAGACACCTGGCATATAGTAGGTGCACTGTAAATATTTGTTGGAAACAAGGAAGACACAAAGGAAGGAAGGAAAACAGACCAACAGAAAGGTTTAAGGAAATCTCCGAGATGATATTATACATCTAGGAAATGGTGAAGTAGATTCAAACCCATGTATTCTGTCCAAATTTCATACTTTTCCAAATATCCCGCTTGTGGTATAATGGGTAGGGGTGAGCTGGTCTTGGCAGGGAAGACACAGAGCCAGCTGCCGGGAAATGTGGCCCTAGTCCCTGCCTCACAGTGCTTACTGTGGATGCTTTGGGCACATCTGTTCCCTCTCTGGGCCTACCAAAGGGCATTCCCAGGGAAAGCATCAACTCCAGGACAGCCTCTAGGTGAAGGGAAGCAGGAAAAGACCAAACTCTGCCCATCCCGCTTCAACAACACAGCCCCTCTTATTTCTGAGCTTTTGAGGGGAACAAAGCAAACATTTTGGTTTTGAGCAGAATATTGCTGGGACATGAAAGTTTGAGACACCCAAGAATGGGGCTCCCCCTTGCTCTCCCATGCCTGCCAGCTCTGATCCTCCAGCTGCCATGCAGGGCTCAGCCATGTCCCTTTGTCCTTACAGGATGGAGGGCCACGCGGAATACATCCTCCCTACCGAAACCAGATACGTTGGGGAAATGAAGGATGGCGTGTTTCACGGCCAAGGAACACTGTACTTCCCCAGCGGGAGCCAATATGATGCCATTTGGGAAAATGGATTGGTGGTTAAGGTGATCAGTCTGGGAGGGGGGCTGCGGAGGGGAAAGCCTCAGACAGGAGGAGCCCCTGCTGACACATGCAGCACCTAGACTCCCCCATCTGGTGCCCTCTTCTCCCCTCCTCTCGACCTCCAGGGCTCTGGCGTCCTCTCCCTCTCGATCCAGAGGGGCCCCTGGAGAGGCCATAATGAGTTTGAATCCTGTTACACCACTAATTGTGTGACCTTGGGCCTATGACTTCTTCTTTCTGAGACTCCTGTTCCTTGTTTAATAAATTGGGGACAAGAGTTTCTTAGTTTCCTATTGCTGCTACTACTACAAACTCAGTGCCTTAAAACAACAGAAACTTATCTTACAGCTCTGGAAGTCAGAAGTCTAAAATAGGTGAGCAGGGCTGCGTTCCTTCTGGAGGCTCTATGGGAGAATCCATATCCTTGCCTTTTCCAGCTTCTAGACGCTGCCTACATTCCTTTGCTCGTGGTCAGGCATCACTCTGACCTCCACTTCCATCATCACATCTTCTCTGCCTCTGCATTTGCTATCACCTTGTCTTCTATCACTCTGACCCTTGCCTCCCTCTTATAAAGACCCTCATGATTATATTGCCCCTCCCCCAAAATAATCCAGGGTCATCTCACCACTTCAAGATCCTTAATTGAGTCACATCTGCAAAGCCCTCTTTGCCATGTACAGTCAACAGATTCACAGGTTCCAGCAATTAGACGTGGGCATCTTTGGGGACCATCATTCAGCCTGTCACAATAGCTCAAGGCACCTCCTAGGATGGCTGTGAGAGCCAAGGAGGCAGTATATGTGAATGCTTTGCTCAGTACCTGTGCACAGCAGGCACTCAGTAAATGTTAGCTCATACTGTTACTGCCACTCCATTACTACTATCATGATAAGTCATCTAATCCAAGGATTTTTAACCTTGAATTTGTGGGCCACAAATAGAATTCAGGGAGTCAGTGAAAGCTGCTGTCTTATACAGAAAAGTTTCTGTGGGGTGGGGGGGGGATCATAGTTTTCTCTGGGGGAAGGACCCACAGCTTCCATCAGTTTCACTAAGGCTGTGTACAGAGCTGGCTCATGACCTAAAAAAGGTTAAGAAACACTCCTTGTTTTACAGCTTGGAGAATCCAAGCCCCAGGAAGGGGATGTGATTTACCCAAGGTCACACGGTGAATTAATAGTATTGGAATTTCCACCCATGTTTCCTGATGTTCAGGCCAATGCGATGTCTACATCCTGGGCTTCCTTTAGCACTAAGGCAGCGAAAGCAGAATGTACATGTTTGGACAAAGGGCTGTGACTGATGATGGCTCTGACCTTTTTAGCTATAATAACCTTAAAAGGATGATAGTAACTTAACATTTATTGAGTGCTTACTATAATATATGCCAGGCACTATGCTAAATGCTTTACATGTACTGTCTCATGGAACCAACCCTATTAAATAGGTACCATTATTATTCCTAATTTTACAAATGAGGAAACCAAGGGCTAGAGAAGGTAGGTCATCTGCCCAAGGTCACACAGTGAGTTGCCATATTTTGAGCGCCAGGCACCAAGCTGAGCTCTTTATACCCATCCCTTCTAATCGTCACAGCCATAACTGTGACAGGTATCACTTCTTTTCTGTGGCAATGAGAAAGCCGCCTCTTCCCTGATGTAAGTCCCTCCTTGGCAAAGGAAGGACTTCCTCAGACGCTCCCGTGGGCTCCTTGTCTTCCAGGGCACGTACACCTTCTCGGATGGGCTGCAGTATGATGCAAAGAACTGGCATTACTGCGACACCTACGATCGGAGGTTTTACACCGAGATCTGCCACGGCCTGAAGCCTACAGGTAGCCTGGCACCCTCCCTTTTCCTTCACACCCAGAATGAGATGAACACAAAAGACAGTTTTGAATAAGTGGGCTGTGGCCTATTGAAGTCACCCAAAGGAGAGGAGGAATCGGGCAGGGGCCGCAGAACGCCCGAGAGCCAGGCTCTGGCGCTAGAAAGGGCAGGCAGTCTATCCAAAACGGCAGGTGGGAGAATGACTTTGCAAACTGTAAAAATCAACTTAGAAGATAACGTGGTGTAGTTGACAGGGCGTGGACCCGGAAGGTCTGGGTTAATAGCTAAAGAGTCCACCTCCATGACGGCAGAAGCCTCCAGAGTGCACCGGGGTTGGAGTCAGGCTGTCCTGAGTGCAAACCCTGGCTGTGTGACCTCGGCCAGCTAGTTGACCAGGCGAGCCTTCTCTTCCTTTGCTTTCCTGGCACTTCACTCTCCACTTTTGTCCCTATTCCCAGGCTCTTTGCCAGCTCCTCCTCCCCCCAATTATTAATTTTCGGGTTCCCCAGCACTCTCTGGCTTAGGCCTTCTTCTGTTATCACTCTGTGCCCTCTCCCTAAACAAGCTGATTCACTTCTAAGCCTTCAGTTACCGTCAGCTTCCAAACTGAAATCAAAGCCCCAAGCCTCAGATGCCTACATCCAGCCTCCCCAACACCTATATCTGCTCATCCCTCAACTTGTCTGCACTGAATTCATTACCCCCGGCCCCCATCAGCCCACTGTCCCCCAGTGATGCTCCCTTGGAGACCATCACTCCCATCTCCCCAGACCAGCCTAACCCTGCAGTCCATCACCTGGTCCTATGAATTCTGCCTCTTAAATATATTCTACTCACTCGTTCGTTGAACAAGTGTTTACTGAGCACCTCCGTGTGCCAAGCTGGGTTTCCTTCATTCTTTCTGCCACTGCCCTGTTCCAGATTTTCATCCTCTCCCCTCCTTTACCTGATCTTCCAAGATCCATGCTTCGCACCTCCTCCGGGCCAATCGCCTCCCTGCAGCTATTTTCATCTTTGAAGAACTGTCATCTGATTGCCAACCTCCCCGCCACAACACACACACACACACACCACTCATACCCCGTTCGGTGCCTCCTCACTACGCTGAAGGTTCCAGAGTCTTAAAATGGCTTACATTCCCTGGCTTTGATGTCCCCAGCCTCATCCTGTGCTTCCCACCCTTCTCGGATTTTCTCTCTCCTCCCTTGCCATGCTCGCTTTCTCTCTAGTCCTCGAAGGGGTCATGCTCTTTCCTGAATTCCCTCTGTCTGGAATGCTCTAACCCTTTCTCTTAACCTAAGTAACTCCTTTCCCATCCTTCAGGTCTCAGCTTAATGTCCCTTTTTCTTGGACCCCTTCCCAGACTAGGCCAGGTCTCCCTATGGCATATCACAAAGCAGCCCTGGTTTTCGCCCAGAGTTCTATCGTGAGTGCTCAGTATCTCTCTTCCAGAGCCAACTGTGAGCTCCATGAAGGCAGGGTCTCTGTCTCATTCACCACTGTGTCCCCAGTGCCTAGAACATTGTCTGGCACATAGTAGATGCTCAATAAAGAATTGATATCAAACAGGGATGATGATAGTGGCATCACAGTGGAGGGTGATGGGGTGCACTTAGGGGGGTTAAGGTGATGACATTAACATTTCCTGAGCACCTACTCTGTGTCAGACATTGGCTGGGCCCCGGGGGACCAAGAGCTGAGAGGACACAGGCTCTGCCTTCAAAATGCCACCAGTCCAGGTGTTACGAGGGGGCCTGGACTTTGTCTGGGGCTCTTCACCCCAACGGAGGCCTGGAAGCAAAGAGCCCCTAGCTGGAGGCCCTCAGATCTCACACAGCAGCTGGTTTTGCCAGAGCTGGGCCTCTGTCAGACTTGAAGGCAGTGCAGCCCCGTCCCTGTCCCCTTCCCTTCTCCTCCTCTGGACTTCCAGCAGAGCAGCTCGATCCTAAGTACCCACTTTCTTCCCAAGCCACCCAGCACTCTGCAGACCTCTCCAACAGCCACCTCTCAACCCTGGGGCAGACACTGTAAGGGCAGGGAGAGGGTTAAGGCTGCCCCTTCACCTCTCTGAGCATCTGTGAGATGGGCAGGAGCATGAGGCTGTAGGGAAAGAATGCCTGGAAAGCACTTGGCATGGAGTACGTGCTCAGTAATCATTGGTAAATGGTGTACCTAGTTATCATTATTAACCAACATAAGAGCACCTACTATGTGCAGGACCCTGAGCTGTGAGCATGGTGCCATGTGCTCAGTAGGCATGCAGCCCTCAGTCCAGAGGACAGAGAATTATAGGAACCACACATTAGACAGAACCCGGGAAGTTATTTATTCTAACCTGTACCCTTCACTCAGGCCTGCGCATTCCAAGATACATAACATACAGAGTGGCATGGCCTAGAAGGTGCACCGACTCCTCTTTCTTTCACAGTGGTTCCAATGTCCCCAGTCCTGAGGGTGGTGCCCAGGCCCTCTCCTCCCCTGATGTTGGCTGCTTGACATATAGGTTACAAAACTGAGTATCTGGCTGCTTCCTAGCTGGATAACCTTGGGCAAGTTACTTGACCTCTCTGAGCCTCAGTTTTCTTGTCTGTAAAACAGAGATACAGGGTTGCTGTGAGAATTAAGTGAAATAGTAGGAGTTAAGCGCTGAGCACAATCCCTGCTACATCATGAGCTCTCAACAAGTGGCAGCTATTATGGTAATTTCGGTGAGAGTCCAGGTTCCCCATTACCTGATCCCTGCCCCCCGATTCAGTTCTCTCCTACCGTCCTTCCTTACACCTGCCCTGCTCCATAGGATTCCCGAGTAAAGCGTGATGGCTTACGCCTCCGGCCTTTACCTACACCTTGAATGCCATCCTCTCCTAGACATGCCTTCTATCCACGGACATAGCCGACTCGCAGGGAGGCTCAGGTCCTCTCTGACTCCAGAAAGTGTGCCCTTGTCATGGTGTCCCTAGAAATGGAAGATGGAGTCAAAGAAAGAGGACGGAAGTCTAGTTCCCAAGCCCCTCCTGGGAGCCATTGTCAGGAAGCTCCTTCTGGGCACTGCCCCTGCTGCTTTTGCTCCGTGCCCTCAATGGGGAGTGTTTAGTCCAACAGCGGAGCCAACACTCACATAAGCAACCAGCCAAAAGTGGACTTCGGAGGGGACTGGGTTTGAATTTGGCCTTGGTGGTGAGTTAATTACCCATTATATCCTCTCTAGGTATCTCTCAACTCACCAATGTGGACCCGCCTAGAAAAATCCCTAAAGGCTGTTACGATTGTGGAGACGGCTTCTATAACCCGATCACAAGGGTGGTCAAGGACTATAATAATCGCTTTCTGAGAAATGCAGGTACGTTTCTTCTGATGCCCGGTGGCACATGCTTCCTCTCCTTTTATCCACACATAGATCTGTGCATGTGTGTGCGCACACACGCATGCATTTGGCGAGCAAGAAGCTTTGGCTGGTGAAAGACAAAAGCTGATTCTCTGTTTCGCTGTTTGGAATTCTCGTGACTGTCAAATCTATACATAGTTATAACATCAGTGGTCTGACTATGACAGCACATACAGATAGCACCGAAAAGGTCAACATCCTTATTTTTGCATGCTCCCCCACTTCAACTCATATTTAATGAACACCTACTACCTACTATATGCTGGATACGAGGCACCCAAACCTAGCAAAGCTAGACACGAACCCCCTTCCTTCATGGAGTGTATATTTTGATAGGTAGCAGACAAGTACTAGAAACAGCTGATTACATCCTGGAATAAGCACAACGAAAGGGAGAAACATGGCCCTAGATGGGGCGAGGGGTTGGCGGGTCCCAGGGAGGGAGGGATTCATGCTGTGGCAGCACAAAGAAGGGACACCTAATCGAGAACTGAAAGTTCAGAAAAGGTTTCAAGAAGGAAATGACAGCATAGCTGAGGCCCAAAGAATAATTGGGAATTGACCACAAGGCTTTGGAAGAGGTCTTCCAGCCAGAGGAGACAGCGCAGGTAAAGGCCTAGACGTGAGTGATGCCATGAGTCCCAAGGGACTGGTTGGCCCCTCAGCCAGCGGAGGACCTTGGAGGTTCCAGAGCCTCAGCTTGGAGAGTGAACATAAGCTGACCGTGACCAAACTTGCAGGAGGCCACTAGCCACAGAAGAACATGAACATTTTCCTTTAATAAGGTGATTCCTAACCGTTTTCTTTTCTAGAGTCACAGTCCCACTAGGAATAACAAACACTGTGGACCCTTCTCCCAGACAAACGCCTACACGTGCACGCACAAGCATACATGTGTACACACACACATAAACACATACACACACATATATGAGTTCTGCAATATAGTCTTAGAGGTTAATGGTCCCTCTAATGACCCATGTCAAGAAACCCTGCTCTATAATGAGAAGGAAACTGCCAGGTAGACCAGAAAGCCTGTACTGGCTGCTGAGAGCCTCCTCTCCCTATACGGAAATTTATGCAGTAAGGTGGTGTTCCCTCTCACACCCCCCACTGTATTGACTGGTTGGGAGATGCGGAAGCAGGGAGCATTTTTATGGAACTAGGGTTCCACGGAACGTATTTTGGGAATTTTATGTTAGTATAACCTTTCTTCAATTGTGGTACATTGCAAGTGACTCGTTTTTAGCTTTTATTTTTAGATTTGAACTGTATTGTAGTCTTGCCGCACTAAGGTGACATCCTGGTCCCATAGAGATTCATAGTCTAGTGGGGGAGACAGACACAGAAACATACAACCTCAATATAATGTGATGTGGGCCCTAGTGGGGGAAAAACCCTGGAGGATGAAGGGGTATTAAGGATGAGGAATTGATCACCTGGCTAAGATGGAGAGTGTCAGAAAAAAAGGGCTCAGAAGTGATGGATCTTAAAGAATGAGTGGGGCTTTCATAAACAGGAATGGTGGGGGAGGACATTCCAGGCAGAGGGAACAGCATGTGCAAAGACACAGAGGTATATAAAAGCATGGTGTACCTGGGGAATCAGAAATTATGTTCACAAAAATCTGTGGGCAAAAGCCATGACTGATGATAAACTTTAAAATGCATTATATGGATGAATAGATGGAGCACAGAAGATTTTTAGGGCAGTAAAATACTCTGTATACTATAATGAGGGATGCATGTCATTATACATTTGTCCAAAACCATAGAATGTACAACACCAAGAGTGAACCATGATGTAAACTATTACAATGTGTCAATGTAGGTTCATCAGTTGTAACAAATGTACCGCTCTGGTGGGGATGTTGATAATTGGGGAAGTTATGCATGTGGGGGGGCAGGGGGTATATGGGAAACATCTGCACCTTCCTCTCAATTTTGTTGTGAACCTAAAACTGCTCTTAAAAAATAGTCTTTAGAAAATGTGTCATGGGAAGGGAAGACCGTTCTTAGGAAGTTTGGAGAAGGACGGACACTGGCGCTTGATTGTCTGGTCAACAAATACTTATTGATTACTTGCTCTGGGTCTGGCTTAGCATTAGGCATGAAAGTGATAGCAGCGTCATAGAAACTTCTCTCAAGGAGCAGGAGAAACAGACAGTAAAATGGGTCATGACAACACAGAGTGGCTGCAGGAGGACCTGGGAGGGACACCTAACCCTGGCAGCCAGCAGGCCAGGGAGGTTTCCTGGAAACGGCATGATCTAATGTGAAACCTGACGAACAGCAGACAAATGCAGCAGGGTTGGCAAGAGTGTTAAAGGCAGAGGGAACAGCATGTGCAAAGGATTAGGGATGGGGGAGAGCTCTGCACTCTAAGGGGCTACCAAGTAGTTCAGGACATGAGATACGATGTCAGGGGAAGATGAGCAAGGGAGGCAGCCCAGGGCGGAGGCAATATTGTGGGTATCTTTTCATTGGAGGGCAGTGGGGAGCAAGAAAGGTTTCAGGCAGGTAGAGTAGTAATTGATTTGTCCTTTAGAAGGATTTCTCTGGTTACATATAGAGAAGGGGCCGAAGCGGGTAAACTTAGATAGGAGATCCTTCTGGCAAGATGTCAAGAGAGAGGCACCTGAAGGACCCCCAACCCCTGCTAAGCTCCAGGTCTTGGCCCCAGCTCTCAGGCTACCTGCTGGCTGACCGTCGGCCAGTGCCTTCCCTCTCTGGGCCTCTTTCTCTCCATCTATAAAGTGAGGGCGTTAGACTGAATAATTTCTAGGGTCTTTCCAAGCTTAAGAGTCTATGACAGTGGAGAAAGGTAGCCAAGGGATATTTTGGTCCTGATATTATAGGACAAATCAAGTTCAGAGTGTCCTGCAAACCACTAACAGGGAGTCTCTGCTCGAGGCCACCTAGTCATTACCCTTGACTCAGCTCACCCTGCCAGGGACTGATTCAGGCTTCTGTCCACTTCCTGTCTTCCCTTTCTCCCCTGCTTTCCGGTCTGCCCCCATAAACACTGCTTCCTGCTGGCATCTAAAAAGGCACAAGGGTGCTGGCCAGTGAGGGCCTGAGGTGGGTGACAGTCCATCCCAGAGTAAACACAGCAGCCTGAGCCACTGATATTATGCAGCACATGGCAGCTGGGTGGGTCAGAGCCGGGGAGGCTCATTTTATAGGAGGTCACGGGCTGGGGCACCAAGAGGGGTTGCCCCCCAGAACTGCCTCGGCCCCGCCCCCATCCTGTGCTGGCTTCTTCTCCCCACGCAGAGAAGCAGGCCTCAGGCCTGACTGGGAATCCCCGGACTGCTGAGGGGGCAAACTGCAAGCATGCTTGGCTGACCTGGGTTTGCCAGAACTGGGCTTTCGGGAATGGAGAATGTCTTTCTTAACTGGGGAGGATGGTTCCTGCTTGCTGGATGGCTGTGAGAATTTAAATCCATCCTTCCACTCATCAAAAAGTCTTTGAGGGCCTACGATGTGCCAGGCTTTGGGGATCCGGGCAGGCAAGAATTTTCTGGGATTGTGACTGTCAAACCTCTGGACCCTGGCTGGCAGTAAGGAAAGGTTTATATCATGACTCAGTACACATACACACACACACACACAGACACACACACACACACGTATTCTTTGTACATGTGATATATGATGATATTTTCTATCTATTTAATTATCTTAAATGCTGATTGCTGTGCACTAAATTGATTTTACAACCCTCTTAAGGGTCAGAACCAGCCATTGGTAGACCATTGTTCTAGGCAGCCTTCCCAAACCTGCCTCTCCCTCCATCCCTCCCTTTCTCCACTATGTCTGAGTTAGGTGTCCCTCCTCTGTGACTCTACGAGCCCTCCTGTGACGGTAGAAGGAGCTTTATTTGCGTGTCTCCCCCACGAGACAGGGAGCTTCTTGAAGGCAGTCACTATGTGACTATGTCTGACATCATCATCCTGGGGCCTCTGTACCTCATACAAGTCCCACAAGTCAGAGCTGATTAAATGTTTACAAAAGCAGACGGGCGGGCAAAGGACCTGCCTACACATCCCTCATACTCTTCAACAAATTATACAAAGTTCAGCCCCTGGCACATGATAAACACCTCATTATTTTGAGTAATAAAAGCGATCCATTGCAGTCATGCACCACTTAAATGATGGGGACACATTCTGCGAAATGCGTCATTAAGTGATTTCATCGTTGCACGAACATCACAGAGTGCACTCACACAGACCTAGATGGTATAGCCTCCTGCACACCGAGGCTGCATGGTAGAGCCTACTGCTCCTCGGCTACAAGCCTGTTACTATACAAAACAACACGAGATTAAGTCAAGCATGAGAGAAAATGACACAATCAAGAGACACGGTAAACACAAGATATATGAGTATACTCTAAAATAATGAGAAAAAGTATAGTACATACATAAACCAGTTAGCACCATTGTCAAGTCTTACTTACTGTACATAATTCTGTGCGCTCTACTTTTATACAACTGGCAGCACAGTAGGTTTGTTTACACGAGCATCGCCACAAACATGAGAGTTTACGACCTTGCAATGGCTATGATGTCACCGCCTAGGTAATAGGAATTTTTTAAGCTCTATTATAACCTTATGGGACTACCATCATACATGCGGTCTGTCATCGACCGAACTGTCGTTATGCAGCACATGACTGTATTATTTCTCTGCACCTCAAAATGCTTAAAAGTGTAAGCATCAGGGGTCTCAAACAGGTGGCTCTCATTCACAGCCCAGGGCAACGAATGATCGTCGTGGGGATTCTTGCCAGGCCCTTGCTAAGCGCCTTACCTGCTCATTTCCTCTGCACTGTCCCCCCATCCCACGTGGGTCATTTTCAGGAGCCACGGTTTGCAATGAGGACACCTGGTCTCAGACTGATAGGTAAATGACTTGCTCCTGGTCCCACAGCGGGTGAGAGAGTCAGAGT